TCTTCTTCTGTGAGGTTTGGTTTCCTCCGCCTTTTCTTTACCTCTTTGCCTTTTGCTTCGTCTGTTTAATAGGCTTTCTTCTTCTGTGAGGTTTGGTTTCCTCCGCCTTTTCTTTACCTCTTTGCCTTTTGGCTGCGTGCAAGTGGGTCTTTGTGACACACGGGGATGGGGGCAGCCTGCGCTCAACCTGCCATCCACGTGGCTGGCCTTGTACGTAAGAGGTGACGAACAGGTGGGGCTTTCCTTCCTTTCTTTTTCTTTTTTTTGTTGTGTCTTTTTCCGCCTTTGCGCTCTGATTTCCATTGTGACAATATATATATATATATCCTCAAGCAGAACTCCCCGCTAAATCGTAGGCAGAGAGGGAGAAGACGACAACAAACGAGGGGCTGTGACAAACAGTTTCGTTGGAGTTTCACGGACTCGTCAGGAGGCTGAACCCTCAACAGTCTGCAGAATCCCCTAACTGATTACACTGTAAGTGATAATCCACCTTAACCCCGGTTGTGGTTAAGCATCAACGACTGCCCGGTAACTGATACCCTAAGGTGGGCACCAACCACTGCCCTCAAGGTACCTGTGACGAAAATCAAAGCAGACTATCACTCACCAACACCAGATGGAAAACTCATATATATATATATATTTTGTCACATATCTATCAACTAAAAGGGCGCACTTTGCGAAACAACGACAAAAATACACGAGACAAACATGAAGAGCACACCAAAACCATTCTTTTGATCATTCTTCTTTCAGCGCTCCCTTCATCGTGACTCTCAAGAACCAGACTCACCACGTTGATGAAGTTGAGCGCGAGCTGCCCGCACCCCCGTGTGCCATAACGGCCCACGGGTATGCTGTGAGAAAGAGGCAGAGTAAGGCGGGAGGGGATAGACACAGAGAAAAGAAGGAGACAAGACAAAGCAAAGGAAGACAACAGGGAACTTAAGGGAGCGAGGAGTGTGGAATGAAGATGAAAAGCATAGAAAAGGATAAGACAAGGCCCTAGAAGCAGTCTGTCCTTGACGACAGAGAGAATACATTGTAAGGATGAGTTGGATGAAGACATAGAAGACCTAGCTGAGCCTTCAAGATGCATTTCCTACGGGATCCCAAAACCACCAACCGCCCCAATGTAGCTCATGATAAGCCCACCAACCTCCCAATAGTATTCCTGCTCAGATTCGCTGCCTGACAAGGTGATTCTAGGAATTCTCGAGGAAGGACTTGCTTGTAGAAAATTTATGAGCTTAGCCCGAAAATCACTAAGTGTTGGATACGCGGATGAAAAAGGGAAAAACACCATCACCCAAACATCAGTACTCCTCAAAAAGTCTTACGTACTTTCTTTTTTTTTCGCTCCCTCAAAATTCAAATTTGTCGTACGTTCCTGCAAGCGCCTGTACTATGTAACATTACCTTATACCAATTGGACAAGATCTCGTCGACCCTAAAGGAGCATCCATGTTCGTATCTCTTTGTTTCCTTTTCTTTTTTTTTCTTTTTTTTTTCTTAGAGTCAAGGAACATGTGAAAGTATGCAACATCACTCTCCACTGACAGTCCAGATGAATCCAAGACCTCATGGATACGAGACTCGCTAGGCTCGTGGTATTGTAAAGAAGGAGGTGGTGGCTGCCAAGCACTGAGGGATCTCATTCCAAGAAACAGATGGGCAAGAAGGCAACTGCGGCTTTTGCTCCGCCAGCCTCTGTTTTACATCAGATATGCAGATGATTTTGTACTATTCCTCACTTGGACGAAGGCCATAGAAGGCAAGTGCTTAGACTAGACTAGACACAGCCACCTCTAGTGAAGTGAGCCTGATTCTGGATATATGCGATTCTCTAATCTGGCAACAGATCGCGAGCCCACCACAGTGCATACAAGGTCGGGAGATCAATAGATTCAATACTCTACTTGAGGGTAACCGCAATATGACTGTTGCCTGAGCTTGCTTCACTGTGACAAGTTTTTTCCAAAAATTGTACATGCATGCGATTATCCAGATTTTGATGTTTTGCAGAAAACCATGCTTTTGAACTAATTGCGCAGAAGTCCCTGCAGCCGAATTTGGCAACTGGACCTAGTTCGCATCCAATATTAGGAATCGGTGTACTCACTGGTATATAGGCTACCTGTACCGGAATCGACCGACAAAAGGTCGCATAATTTGCTGCTGCAATCAAATGTTGCAAGGCAATGTAAGCCTCGTGAAGGTGTTGCTGCAATGGGTTTGTTCTTTGTTTCACTATTTGCTTTACCTTTTCATAACACTTCATGTGTACGACGTTCACCTTTTAGACCCCAGAAGACACAAACAAAAAAAGGTAATCTATGCATGTCCATTCTTGGACGATGCATGTTAAAAATAGTCGTAATGACATTGATATTACATTGATATTTCACACACACACACACACACACACACACACACACACACACACACACAGAACTGTGAACCGTAGGGCAGAAAGGGAGAAAAGGACAAGGAGCGGAGGGCGGAGACAGATCATTTCGTCAGAGTTTCACAGACTCGTCAGGGGCCTGAATATACCCCTACAAAAATTTGGACCATTTCAGACATTTCATTTCTCCATTTGTGCTTGCCATCCTTTAACTGGGCAAGGGCCATGGTAATCTTCCCTCCATCGCTCCAATTTAAATTTAAACGGACGTCCTACGGTCCTAGAGGATTTGGCCTCACCACACCACTCATGAAATTAACATATTCAAGTTTAGTTTAATGATCACTGCCACCCTACACTCTTGAATTCTTTGTGGTCGCGTTAAACCACCAGTACTTGGCCCATACATCGGCCGCGGGCGTTTCCTGTTAACGCGCCGCGACTGATGGGCTTCGGGGTACCGGAGCACAAAGGCTGGAGGCACCAGAAAAAATCAAAAAATGCCGCACTGTTGGTTCGACAAAACTTGGCGCGCAGGGCGTCTCCCGGCTCGACATCGGTATCTGGGCCAAGTACTAGTGGTTTAACAGCTGTTGTGTTCACCGTTGTCACCCCATCCTGTTGTGTTCTCTTCCCCATAGTTCTTTTTTTTTTTTTTTTTTTTTCCCCTGCACATCTACTTCAACGCTGGCAAGGGTATGGTGACAAGGTTACCTTGCCCAACTTTCAGACAACTTAGTCCGAAAAATCACATGGGCTGTACTTGAAACCAGGTGCATGGACCATGAGACCAGGTACATGGACTGTGCTTGAGACCAGGTACTTGGACCACGCTCGAGACTAGTTGGATGGAGTGTTCTTGAAACCAGGCCAGGAGTGGATGAAGGTTCTTTCAGGAGCTTGGATTGTCTTCTGGAATGAACAGTATTACTGGGCTACCAGACCCGCACGGGCCCGGCCGCGCGGCCGGGCAGCCAGGCCAGTGCGACTTGGACCGTCTTGCCCGGGTCACCCGGGCGAGTAAAAAAAATAGTCAAAACTTTTTTTTTTCTTTCCCTGATTATGGGGCATTTTTGCGCCCTACGAGAGGGACCCAAATCCGGTCTTTTTTTTTTTTTTTGGTTCATGTCGTTTTGGAAGAGGAGGGGGGGGGGTAAGGGTCTTAAAGGGGCTTGAAAGGGGTTGAAACTTGAAAGTCCTTTAAAGGGGGTGAGATGATTTTCCTTGCATTATTTTATTTTTATTTCAAATTCTGTGAAGACTTTGAAAGTGACCCTCAGCCAAAAGTTGTTTGGTTTGCTATTCTGCACAACATACTTTTTTTTCAAAAGTTTTTGATTTTTTTTGTTTTGTTTTTTGGTGGGATATAGGCCGGGACCCCGCCCGGCCCAGTTGCCCGACCGGGCGTCCCGGGCAGGTCCCGTGCCAGCTTTGGGAACCCGGGCGCCACTTATTGTAGCGCAGCAGTATTACAATAATCATTGAATAGTGTGAATAAGGGAACACTGACATTAGCACCTTCCTTACAATGTATCTGACCATAGGCATACAGTTGCGGAAGTCCTGTTGCAACTATTTTCTAAGTGATGCCAAGAATTCTGAAACAACACCAGTGTTGGACTCATTGCGACAGCTTGCACAGTTAAAAGAGTGATACAGACTGAAAATTTCAAAAATCTGCATTTTGTGAGAGAAGTTGCTGTCTTTCATCTGCTTGCTTGATCTCGGAGTCTATTTTGCCGTGTTTTTCTGTCTGCATGACCTGCTGCAGGTATGAGTAAGGCTGTGTGCTTGCCCAAGTCTGAGTCTGCGTCCCAGTCCCAACTCTGTTTTTTTTTTTGTGCTGTGGAGTAGCAAAGAGGTGTAGTTACAGGAACAGAGTCAACAGACCTGATTTTTTTTTTTTGAACCTTTCTTTCTTCTCTCAAATTCTTTCAAAATTCACCTTTCACTACCTACTTACCGCTACTTTAAGCCCCTCCAACCATAGCTTTCGAACCCCTCACAATGAAAGGGAATATGCATGTTTAGTGTTGTTTACTCCTTGCCCTAGTGGTTTAGAGGGGCAGGGTTTGGGCCGCCGGTGGCAAGAGGGATTCGTCACTGGGGCCAAAATTCAGGATAACCCAAAGATCAGGGTCGGCGTGATGAAGCGGATATTTATGATGAAACAAAATTGTTGTGCCCGCTGAGCAAAACGGATTGGCCACACTTTAGGATATAGCTAGACTAGAAGCTTAGTTTTCTTTGTCTTTTTTTTTCTTTAGAACATGATTTCATGTTGAGTGAAGGCACAAAATTAATATCCCATAAATGTACTGCACCTTGCCAATCAACAACTGCGGGCTGCAACGTGCAGCTGTAAGCCAAACCATGCACCCTCATATATGTCTCCTGAGATTTTCTCAGTCTGTGAGTCAATGGGTTCATCTCTTGAAAGCAGATAGTCCAGGTTGTATTAAAGACAACAGGGAATCAAATGTCACAGTAGCATACTTGTCCAGGGTTTTGTTCCTTATCTTCTTGCTCAGAGACATGACCTACATGGGTATACTTTTTGTCTCCTCCTTGCTCAAATTTTGGTTTTCAGGCTGGCATGGGGACGTTCGTAACATTACTTTCTCGCCCGACAACAAGACTGTAACTGTCGTGTACAGAGTGACAATTCGTGGTGCTGACGGAGAGGTATGTATTGGTTTTCTGCCTCCATCTCCTTGTATGTGTGTATATGTGCAATGTTATGCATGCATGCACGTTGGATGGATGGATTGATGGATGTATGTGTGAATGTATGTGTGTATGTATGTGTATATGTATGTATGCATGTATGTATGTATGTATGTATGTATGTATGTATGTATGTATGTATGTATGTATGTATGCATGTATGTGTGTGTATGTATCATACTTGCGGCGCACTTCTGCGCTGCGCCGTGCGGTGCGCATGCGCCATGCGCCATGCGCAAATTGGTGATGCGCTCAAATTTTTTTTTTTTTTTTTTTTTTTTTTTTTTTTTTTTTAAAAGGTGTGTGTGTGGGCCACTACATCCTTCCTCTCAACTCCATTTTGTTGTTTTTCAGGAGTGTGTGAGAGCAAAGGATCCCCTTAACACACCTCAGGCTGCCGATGCAGGCACTCTTAGGGGTCCTCGCGGCATTAAAGCCCAGACCCCTATCCAAAAACGAGGGAGGCAGTGAAAGTGAATTGCACGACGAGCTGGCCGAATGTATAGTGGAGATTTGAATTCAGGTTTGTAATTCAGCAGTTATGGGTTGGTCAGTAAGCTATGGCCTGTTGTTCTCTACACGTGATTCTCAGGGTTCGGCTGCACTACTCACCAAATGTGCAAAATTAGAATGAATCTTCTGCAGAACGTGGAATAGTATGCCGCCATATGTTTTGTCTTTTATGCATGGTCATGATTAGAGGCCCTGAGGGCCACTGCACGTATTCCTAAGAAAAGGAAAACGGAAGAAAGGAAGAACGAGAACAACGAGAAATAGTGGCCCATAACCGGGATGCAGAGACCTGGATTCGAATCCAGATTATATATTCTTGGCCCATGCCTAGAAGTGGGTAGTGTGAAGTTCGCCTCTGCTACACGTAGGGCCCCAGCTAATATGCTGTAAGGGCCCTTCGGAAAAGAGGCTGGACCCAGTAGGGCATGAATACTCGCATGCATAGACGAGTGCCCACAGTTTTGGGGTATCGCATGGCCCAAATTTTTTTCCCTCTTGCTCTCTGATTTTCAGAGGTGAGGAGAGGGTTTGGCCACCCCACTCTGAACTTTGTGTTTTTTTTTTTGTTTTTTTTTTTTGATGCGCCACATCACATGCGGCGCATCTCATGCGCGTGCGCTGTGCGCCGCATGTCCCGCGTCCCCGCGCATGAGATGCGCCGCAAGTATGGTATGTATGTATGTATGCATGTATTTATGTAATGTGTGCATGCGTGTATGTGATGTGTGCACGCATGTATGTAATGTGTGCATGCATGCGTGTATGTAATGCGTGCATGTATGTATGTATGTATGTATGTATGTATGTATGTATGTATGTATGTCATGTATGTAAGTAATGTATGCATGCATGCACAGCATTGAGAGATAGGGAGGATGGATGGTGTGTGTGTGGGAGAGAGAGAGAGAGAGAGAGAGAGAGAGAGAGAGAGAGAGAGAGAGAGAGAGAGAGAGAGAGAGAGAGAGAGAGAGAGAACAAGGCATTGAGAGGCAGGGAGGATGGGTGGTGGAAGCATACCTATAGTGGAGATGCTAACAGATATATTTTGTTAACTTTTGTAGGTTTTGTTGCTTGTTGTTGATGGTACTGTGAACAAACACTGAGTTTTCTCTCTCGTCGAGTGATTGCTTATGCAGGTTTGGCGGGAATCGTCAGGCACAGCGTCAACCAGCGATGATGGATTTGGAGACCCTGTTCAGAAGGCCGAGGGCATGGCATTCCGCAGGGCATGTGCTCGTTTTGGCCTGGGGCTTCACCTTTACCATGATGAGGACAAGACATGAGGATGACACCATGCAACCATTTTATTTTCTGTATCTTTTTCCCTTTCTTATTCTTCTTTTTTTTCTTACTCCCTTTTTTCTTTTTGAGTTACGTCCTTATGCTCCTGGCTCCCTCTGGGGAGATTCAGCGCGGTTCCTTTTCCACAGGCAAGTTACAGGTATCACAGCACCAGATGCAAAGTTCGCAAATGCTTTCTTTGGTTGAGGTCGAAGTGAACCCTGGAGTCTGGACTGGTTAACGGGGACCCCTTATTTTCAGCCCCTGACTAACGGGCCCCAAACTGAAATTAGGGAAATTGGGGGTCAGTTTTTGTGTTTTTTTTTTTTTTTTTTTTTTTTTTTTTGACTGTTTTTGTTTTAGGTCAAGGTTACTGTGTGTCAAATTTGACGGTTCAAAGATCTTCTCTTGACATTTCTGAAATTTCTGAAATTTTCTGAAATTTGGGTTGGCCAAATTTTGACGAATTTTCATGAAAAACTTGATGAAAGTGCACCTTGGCCTTGAAGTTTTATGCTGTTTTTGTTTTTTTTTGTTTTCTTTTGCTGTTAGTTAGTATGGGTGACGAGTTCAATTAAAATGGGGTTTGGATTTTCTTATAAATTGCATGACAATTTTCTGTAAATCCGGGCCTCCATTAACCTCCTCTCGTATGGGGTGGTATGCCAGATTGACTTTATGAACAAGAATGTACAGGAGTCTTTCAAGCCCGGGCTCTGTGAGTTGTTTTCCTTCCAGCCTTGTGCGTCATCTCTTCTCCCTTGTTTTTCCTTGTTTTTTCCTTTCTTCCATCTTCCTTCTTTTCTTCTCTGTTTTTTAAATCATTTCTTTGGAAAAAGTAGTAGTTCTACTATCCTTCTGGACTAGGTAGCTCATCTGAAATTGTCCTACTTGTGCACCTCACACATCTTTCTCTTCTCTTGTTCCGTGTCAGCTTGTCTGCAAGCAATTTATGGCCAGGACAAGTCTGTTTGCAAGGATAGGGTGAAATGCACGGCCTTCTGCAGGATGTGTGCCTGCTTCTTGCTCAAGGTTACAGCTTCCACGGGGATTGGGAATTCAACCTCCAGTTCATACGAGCCCAAGTTGATGAAGTTACCTTCCAAGGCTCGTGAGTCATGAGCCTGCAACTGCGTTTTTTCAAAGTGGTCTGCCGGTTTCGCTACCGAACCAGGCCTGAATTGAAATGCTCTTCCCGTGTAAACCGGTAAGAGCAGTACTCTGCTTGTGTGAGCTGGCGGTTCAAGAGCAGAGAATGATTGTAAAACAAAATTGCAGTGTCATACGCAGGCAATGCTTCATTTGTACCTTCAGCAATTCCTGCAATTCCTTTTATTTGTACTGACACTTTACGATAGATAGACAGAGAGATAGGTGTACATGGATAAAGGAGCAGGGGGGGGG